GTACAAGGAAAGTACTTCTTAGAGAATCAACAGCTAGTATAATTAAAATGAAAGTTAGCTATGTCTCAGTTCTTTTAAAAACTTCAGTGAAACTATATAAAAGTGAAGCTGGTGAATTTTCAGACATTTCACATTCATTGACAATACAAAAAATTAAATGTCTATAAGGTAGATGGAAATGATCACTTCATACATAAATTGTAAAACAAAACAAACGCCAAAACACAAGAAATTCCATTGTGCCATATTATAATTTTAACGTTCTTCAATTAAGATCCTAGAATCTCTTAATTAAAAGAAACTTACTTATTTTTTAGACCAGGAAAGTAACAGTTTGGAATAGGATGTGCTATATGCTGCCTGCGGTTGAGTTTTAATAGACAATATATTAAGATGACATCCATTTAAATAAGCTATATTTTTTTCTGAGCCCTAGTTGGTGATGAATATAACTTTCATTTAAAACAGATGTAGCTTCATAAGCATTTTCATGAAACTGGTTTCAAGAGCAAATTTAATTGGAGTTCAAGTAAAAATGAAATTAAAAACTTAGCATCTTCTCAAGATTTTCTATGACTCTAATTTGCTATATATTTTTTTCAGATATTTTAATCTAGTCCTTATTAAACTTGCACACTTGCAGAGCTTTTCAACCTGCTGATCCCAGGAGAATCTGACAGAGCTCCCTGGATGCTACGCATGCTGATGCTCCTTTAGAATGAGTTAATAGACTAGGTTTTGGAAAGCATCAATTATGATTTACATTTGAATGAAAATTAAACTCTTTCATTTATTTGCTCAGCTGTTCATGGAATATTGCATAAATTGGGTTTAAAATGCATGCGTTATCAATGTAACTGCCTTGCAATCCTTTGCAGTCAATAGGACTATAAATAAAACCCACTGTACTAAATGCATTGCGACTTGAACACCTCACTGTCTCAAAAGTAAAACCCTCTTTGGACTGGGAAAAAAAAATCTCAATGTGAGTAAAGTAAAAATCAGCATACGTCTGGTTTTCATACCTTTTGAATATTTTTTTAACAAGGTATAGGTGCAAAATTTTCAAGCATTTATTTTAAATGAGATTTTCATTTGTATAACTAGTTAACAATAGCTACAGTTTACCAGTAATCTTCATTAAAAAAAAATTATGAAATGAAGAAGTGGAGGCTCAACTGACTTTAACCAACTTGTTTGGAATCACATAGCAAATGAGATTCAAACACCAATTTATGGTTACAAGTAATATTTGGAATCAGGTTTGTGTCTTAGTACTTTGATACCATTTTGAATATATAATGGCTATTTAAAGTCATTTCTAGAGTCCTATACCAAGGCCAATTTTATCTCACATCTTGTTACCTACAAAAATTTTACTCTAAAATGGAAATTTTATTACTGAGGAATATTTTTCTTTCTATACTCTGATCGGGATTTGATTTCACCCAGAAAAAAAGTATCTTAGATGTAACTGGAACCACTGGAATGTTCTGTGATTAGCCCGGGTGTTTTCCTAAAACCAACCTCAAGATGGCAATGGACATAGTACTGGCTTTAATTTCGGATTTTATATGAGGTTTGGTTATTCAGTCTAGCAAAGACACATAATGAACATGGTCTCCTGGAGATGGTATTATGGTAAAATTAACTGGTTGGTTGACATTAAATGTCTTTCTTTTTAAAATCCAAGAGTATCAGATACCACCAGGACCCTAAATCTGTTCCTTGTCTATTTACCTTGTCAAACTACCACAGTGCTCAAATTAACCCTTTTAAATTTTATTTTATGTTAAATGGAATGACTTGCAAGGCTCAAATAAAAATACAGAAACTGTAACATTTCTCCGCTTGTTTCAGTGTATATAGAAATTGCTTTAATGTGTTTTTTGCCCTCCTTCTGCAAAATTAAACAAAGTTTGACAGTGAAATATTCCAATTGCTAGACCACAATATATGTATGAACTTGGCCTGATAGAATAGAATGTTGAAAGAAAATATTTCTCTAAACTCTGCCCAAATACATTTTGTCTACTTGGGTGCCAAAGAAATAATAATGACAACAATGCATAAAACAGAATATGGGAGAAAAATGGAACATTTATCTCTGGAAGATGTGTCCCATGTTGCAAACAATCCTTTAACAAAATTATAAACTCATAAAGAATCATTTCCATGAAAGCACAATATTACGTATTCATACCTAATTGTTAAAAACTGAATAAAGAACCTCTCTCATGACATCTTAAAAAGCCACAAAAAAGTCATTCAATAGTTATCGTAAGTGTAATTCGGCTGTGTATTTCTCTGGAAACTGCAAAACACTAACAAAATCTAATAGACATTAAATATTTGGGTTGGCAAGATGTCTGGCTTCCAACCTCTCAAGATTTTGTTAAAAGTCATTTAATAGATCAGCTTAAAGTAATATTTTTAAACTAAAATTTGATTTACTATTAAAAAACAAAGATAAGATGTGAAACGTAAACTTAAAATCCCAGAGATGTAGGGAATGAAAATTAGCTAGAACACAGTATTACTGCAAAATTATACATATTCTGATTCATAAAATCCTGGAAAATAATTAAATAATAGATAAAAAGTACCTTATTTTTTTAAATGGCATGACATAATGATACAATTCTACAAGATAAAACTTAATTGTACTGAAAGATAATAAATTAAGTACTTGAAACTATGAAGGATAACATGGAAGAGTCTCTAAGCTACACAAGGTCAGGGACCATGTTTATAGTGTTCATCTCTGAATCACCAGAGATGATGATTAGCATTGTGCCAGGACCACGGTATACAGGTTTGTTTACAGTTGAATTAGTAAATGGAACTTGTTATAATCATATACTATTAACTGAATGGGGAATATGCAAAGGAACCGTGACAAATTCAAAAGTAAAAGATTCTGGAAATAGTTAAGAAATTCTAAAGTTAACAATATTTTAGTACTCCTGCAACTTCATTTGCTACAGTGGTGGTAATATAGATTTCCAAAAATACAGAATTGGTAAAAATTTTTTTCTACTAGAATAATATGGGATATAATCAGCAGGATAACTTTTTGCTGTTCTCGGTTTATCTTCCTCATACTCTGGCACCTCACTTTAAGTGGGGTCTCCCTAAGAAGACCTTAAACTCTTTAATTTCTCATTTTTCATTTTTGCATAAATACTGATTCCTTTATTCATTTAATAAATGTAGGATGAAAACACACTTTAGGCTCTGGAGACACAACAATGGACACAAGACAGCAATATACATATCTGCCCCTCAGTGCCCATAATTTGTTTGCTAAATCTAGATGGGCTCTGTATTACTGACACAGTCTATTTGCATAATTGTATTTTTGAATTTGTAGGATAAAGTATCAATGCGTAAATAATGAAATGGGACTTGGTGAAAGATAGGGATTAGTCATCATTCTATACCAGACAAAGTAAGGTCCAAGTGCCTGATTTTAAAAATCGTACTAGAATTATGATGATTGTGTTATTCTAAGACTTAAACCAAGGATTAGTAGAGAAGGCTACTGAGAATGTGGCTTATATTCAGTGTAGACAAACTAAAACAAGTAAAATTATATTGACAATAAGATTCTGAGCACAGGAGCTGCCACTGTCCTGGATGTTCTACATATAGTGTCTCTAATTCTTCTAGCTTCCTTGTGAGGTAGGTATTATTTTTCCTGCTAGGGAAGCTCAGAGGGATTGTATGGGTTCCAAACAGAACTGCCATGTAGCTAGCTATGACTGAAGAACCTAAGCCCTTCCCATTAGAACATTGTTTAGTTATTACAAGATGTCTGTGTCATGATGTACCAGTTATCTGTTTCAAAGCTAATCATAACTTTACTTGAATCAATATATATATATTAAAAGCTTGCCATATTTTACTCTATTTTCTCTTCAAAGTATTACTGAATAGTGAGCTAGAGCTCTATTGTGTTAATAAACTGGTCTAGAAGTATGGGGCTAAAAGAAGTCTTGGGAAGATTTTCCTTACAATCAAAATATTTAATCAACTGAAAACTTTAATCCATCCACTTCATTTTATAGATAAAGTGAGATTTCTGGAGACTAAATGAGATAATGTTAAGTTGTGAGACTAGATCCTATATTTTCTCATTTTCTGTCCATGAAATTCTTCTAATTCCAGTTTATTTTGCAGTTACAAATGTCTCAGATTTTTGCCTTCTTTTTTTTTTATCAAAAACTGAAATAACACCTTTGATAGGCATCTATTTCTGTTATATTTCATAAATGATTTATATCAAGGTGTGCTTCAATTCAAACTCTTCCTCCTAGCTGGCTTTCTAAAAGGAATGTGGTGTATGTTACATTACTTCAGTTTTCCTCCCTCACTTCAATCCATATACTGCTGCCTCTACCCCCAATCCTATATAAACCTACTTGGGCCATCAGTGATTCAGGACAAAAGGACAACTATCTGTACTCTTCTTAATTGTGTAGACTAGGAACTCATAACAGATTTTCCACAAGTGATATAAAAACCTCAAACTTTTTTTTTGCTAACAAATGATTTCTTTGGGAAAATATGATAAAACAATTCACAAATAAGCTAAAAAATTATTGAAATGTCTTCATTCCGTTACCATTCTGAATGTATTTCCTTTAATACATTCATGGAAGTTACCTATCATCCCAGTTATACCATTAAGTGTGAAAGAGGGGATTTGGAGGGTAGGAGGCACACAGGGTTTGTTCATTGAGGTAACTTACATAAATTATATAAAATGTAAATCATATAATTTATCATTGAGAAAACAAAATATGAGCCAAGGATATATTTCTTTACATTTTTTGATTTAACTAGCATTGAAAGTTTCAAGGTTTATTTTGACTAGTGTCTGGCTTTCTAATTGACAAGCTAATTAGAAGGGTATGCTAGACTGCTTGTCCATACCAAGTTCACTGTGCAGCTGTCCTGGGGGAAAGACATACAAGGGAACTTGTTGACACTTGAAATTAAGCAGCACTCACCCGAAAAACTGTCATTTCTTCCAGCAGAACTTCTTCTAAATCATGCCAAGTCTCCTTAGGAATTGAAACTACTTTAAGAACGGTTCCAACATCTTTGAAAGAAAGTGGAGAAGACCACAATTTAAATAGATCTGAACAGAGTTTAGTGTTAATGAATGAAATCAGTATTTGACCAGAAAGAACATTTTGACCTCAGCATTTTAAAATTTATTTTATTGTTACAGCATTAGTAATATATACAAATGCATTTCATGAAACTAGATAAAGTATAAACATAGCTATGGAATAAAAATAGTTGAATTTTTAGAAATATCTGAAGCTTTGGAGATGATTTTATCCTAAGCCTGTGTAATTAAAAAATATATATATATAATAATCACTAGGTTGGATTATTTGTATTTTTAATCTCAACTATAAGGTGTCTCAAAAACAAAACTAAACTAAAAATAATACCAGTTTGACAGTGTTGAGGTTTCTCAAAAAAAACCTAAAAATAGTACATGACCCAGGAATTTCACTCCAGGGTATATAGCCAAAACAAAACAAAACAAACCCAAAACACTAATTCAAAAAGATACATGTATTCCAATGTTCCTAGCAGCACTATTTACAATTGCTATCAACAGATGAATGGATAAAGGAGATGTGCTATATGTATATACAATGGACTACTACTCAGCCATAAAAAAAAAGAAATGTTGCCATTTATAGCAACTTGGGTGGGCTTGGAGGGCATTATACTAAGTAAAGTAAGTCAGACAGAAATACAAACACTGTACGATATCTGTTATACATGGAATCTAAAAAGTCAACAAATTAGTGACTATAACAAAAAAAGAAGCTGACTCACATATACAGAGAACAAAATGAGTGGTTACCAGTGGGGAGGCAGAAGGGGGAGGGGCAATATAGGGGTGGGGAAAAAAAGGGTTATTATGGGGTTATATGAAATCATCTGTGTGAAACTTTTGAAAATTGTAAAGCACTATAGAATTTAAAGAATCTTTCATTCTATAACAAAATATACTAAAAAAAGAAAAAAATTACCAGCTTGACATTACAAGTTTTTCCCATTTTTGTTATGCAACCAGGAACTGCTATGAATACTTAATATATAAGCAAAATGGAAGGAATGTTGTCAAGCAACAAAAGTAGATAGAGCCTCAGAGCCTGGCTGCTCACCTTCGTCCCACGAGGAAGACTTTAGTAGTTAGAGGCCCCTACCAACAGCTCAATGACCATTACCTGATAAATGACAATAATCTGATTTCTCAAAGTAAACACCTTGGATTACTTATTACAGTGGTTTTTCAACAACTGGCTAATCAATTTTGGTTAGCAAATTGGTTTAATTAACATGCTGTTCAATCAACTTTAGAGTACTAAAAAATTTTAAAATTCAGAACCATAAATAATGAAAACTGTTAAAATAAATACATTTTATAGAGATTTTAAGCACTGTTGATTCATTGTTAAAAGAGATAAATTGTTTTAATGATAAGAGCTGGCACTTTTACTCTAAGTGGGGTTAAGAAGCTACTATTTTCCAGTATTTACAGATGGGTTCCTATTCTTGATAGAATAAAGAACAGAGATTTATTAAATTCAAAAATCTGACTCTTCAACATACCATTTCTGAGCAGTTGATCAAATATTTTTAGCTTCAATTGGCTCATTTTAATCAAATTAAACAGTCTAATTATTCGAGAAGAAAATCTTACCAGTAAAGTTACACCAGAAAAATAATTCAAAGTATTCATACGACAGATAACCATTTTCAAGGGATCAATATGATGTGCTATATGAGACCAAGAAAGGTTGCTAGTGTATCCCTTGTAAAGTCAAAAAAAAAAAAAAAATCCCTCTTTTAAGCAGATCCTTCTGTTTACAGGACCTTAGACTACTCATAACACCAAAGATTAAAGGTAAATTAGGTTAATATACTCAGTGCCTCTGATCAGTCTCCAATACCCCAAAATAACTTTATCTGTGTTCCAGATCAAGTTTTACTGAGTAGTATTTCAAACAATTTCACACAAATTGAATCAGATTACTCAACTAGGATCAATGTGTAACTTACTTAAAAGATAAAATTACTGTAATCAATTTACTTTGTTGACAGATGACCCTGTTCTGTGCTGACCGATAGCCATCCACATCATCAGACATTCAACGTGCTCATGAAATTGGTTCCTTTAAAGACGGCTTGCGTCCAAGAAGAACTGAAAATTCATGATTAGGTTTCTTTGGTCAAATAGCCGGAAGCAAGCTTTTGTTGCATTGACAATGAGTGGGGGACTTCTCAACATGTTTAGGCCAGAGGTGAAGAAAAAGGTAAGTGTGACATTACTGAACAAGTTTAATTACTCTGTAGAGAGATCTAATTATAATTTGACATTAGTGATAAACTAATATTTATTGAAGAGAAATCCTATCATCTTATAATTTCTCAAGATATTTATAACCAGAAGTTGATACTTGCAATTCATTGACTTTTATTGAACTCCAGGTCTCCCTGGGATTCTTTTATTTGATAGAGAAACTTTCTCACTCATAAAAGCAGACTGTAATGTATTGCTCAGAACCTGACACTTACACTTGATAACGTATTTCACAATTTTGTTATAAAACTTTAAGTCTTTAAAGCACTTACTGTGCAGTTGCCATTCCCCTGTACTTAATGCAATTTCTTTCTCTGTTCTCACCAAGGGAAAATAAATGTTATTATACAGGTTTCAGTGGAGCACTCACCCTGTTTCCTATTGATTTATTTCAGTTAACAACGTTAATGGAGACTAGGAATTTATTACCTTGGAATCTGACCCTAAGTAGCAAGTTTCAGATTTGTAACTGGTGCTTTTAAAATAGTATTATTAAAGAGAGTAGGGTAAAAATAAAATAATATATCATAATAGCAATGGAATTCATCCTGAAAATATACCTATAAAATGTTTGTTTCTAGTCATGGAATTGGTAAAAAATACGTCATTAAATGCCTATAGAAATGGATCTAAAATGTATCTGACGATTCCTTAGGTCCACTCTGTTGGTTTTCTGATGAAGTTTTATTTTGCTTTGTTTTCCTTCTCATTGTATGGTAAAAACACTAAACAAATTTTGTTGCCAAAATTTATTTTCTGGAAGATTTGCACTCTATGATAATTTTAAAGTTCGGATAATTTTGCATCAATATATTCTAGAACTTTTATTGAATGTCTTGGGATTTGAGCAATACATTTTTGTCCTGAAAAGCCACTGTTCAGAAAAGAGTTATGATTCAATTATAGACATTGATTGTTCACCTAATCATTAGCGTTACCTGATTACATTTATCAACTTTTGATTGAAAAGGAAATTTAATTTAAATTAATAAATATATGTCAACTTGCCTAAAAAAATAACACATTGGAATGGGAGAATGTCCAGGTTTTTTTAGTCATTTATTAGAGGTTAACTATATCTTGAGAGTGACTATAAAGTCTTCCTTCAGTTCTTAGTATACTTAATTAGTTAGATGCAATGTTCTGGAAGAACATTTAGAGCTGAAGTTAAAACATTTACCTGTTCCAATAAACAGGACATCATACTGGCCATCTTCCGCATCCACTCGATCTACTACAATTTGTGTAAACTGGTAATTTACATCTGTTTTGATCATTATCGGCCGGTTATTAATAGGAAACACTGGATTGTACATGGCTGGATGACTTCTGGCAAATGTTATAACATCATCAGGAAGGTCTTTTGTAGACTCAAATCCACCAAATGTTTTACTGGGACACTATTAAGATAAAGAAAATATCTTTTGATTAAAATATAATGAATAGGATTATAATTTATATAATATATGGCCTCAATGAGCTAGGAATCTAAATCTGTAATTTTTAAAGTAACTGTTAAACTAAACAACAAAATAATTTTACTTAAATTAGTAGATGTAATATATAATATATATTTTCTAAACATATTTTAAGTCTCGATGGGATGTCATCATTTCTTACCAAAAGTTGCAAATGCATCTAATGAATTCAGTGTACAGGAGAAGTCTGATGCCTCTATTAGTGACAACACCATATACTTTATGTTTAAATGAAGTATTTGAAATAATGAGTGGAATATGTTATAACTAAATGCTATTAATCATTAGACTAGAGAAAATCAAAAATTTTCTTGAATGCATTTCATTTTTCCCTATGGTATTATGCTAAAATATAAATGCTCTCTTCAAACTAAAAGACAATATAAACTATTCTTTATTGCTTTATTTTTAACATAACCCTGAAAAAGTACCATAAAAAGGACCAAAAGTATTATTGCTTTAAAAATTACAGTAATTCTAGGGATAAGGAGATGTGTTATTCAAGGTGTTTAACAACTTGCATTGCACAGAAACTGACCAATCAGAATGGACCAAGCAGAACAGATGATGGCTATAGGGAGAGCCAGACACGATGCTGTGCTGTACACTGTCATAATATCACCTCTGGATTTAAATGCTCCACTTAAGGCAATAAGTCAAAAACAAGAAAATTCAGATTTTACTGTCTCTTTTCACTGCATTTAATTATGTGGTGCAAGCATTCAGAGTACAGTATCTCCAGTCTCTTGCTTTTTGTCTTACAGTTAACTAATTTCTGCCATTTAATGTAAGAGTTTGAGAGCTGAAATGTAGTTGAGTGGCTCTTGATCTAACAAGAGGCTTAGAAGGAGAAATCAATTGTCTCTGCCATTACCTTAACACAGATCATTAATAATTCATGAGAAATGAAATAAAGCTATTTTGAAACGGGAAGAGTATCTCTTTATGAATATATATGTATGTAGTATACAGATACACACACAATAATACACTAATATAACAGTTAAGGGATTTAGGGAATTACTTTTTATTTAAGTAAATTAAAAAAATTATTTAATGTTATAGAAATATCAAATAGCTGTATAAACTCCTAGAAGAAACGATAAAACATATTTTGTAACATTAATTTTTTTTGCTTTTCTACCACCATTTAAAAACTACTTGCAAAAATTCAGAAATGATTGAAAAAGAGACTTATTTTAGATTTTTATCTTACAATTTGTCTCACTTTCTTGCCTTACTTTTATTTTTGTATTTAGTATTACTTAAGCTGTAGGTTTTTCTTTAAAAATAAAGAAAATGCCCTTCTATTGCCACACTGCTTCAAGGCCTCAATATGTTTTTCTCCAGTAGTGTTGATGGAACGACATATTCTCAGCTGCCCCCTTTTGGGATTAATGGATTGATCTAAGGGAATTTTATTCACAGAGCAAGGTGTTGCCTCCTCCTGGCAGCCCCTCCGTAATTCCTAGCTTAGGCAGTGCTTTCTGTCTTCTGCCTCCAGCACTTGGTTCACACTGCTGACTTAATGGACCATGTCATAACAACTCTCTATGAACAATGGGTGAGAATTCAGGCTCTAGAATCAAACTGCGTGGAATGAATCTTGGCTCCTCTCTTTGCCTCAGAGTCTTCATCTGTGAAATGGGAACAATTATTGGGCTACTGTATATACTATTTTATATACATATACATACACACACACATATAAATATGTATGTATGCATAAATCTGTTAAAACGGGCTTCTTATAATCAATGGATAGTCTATCTTGTTCATTTTTTCTTCTGAAAGCCTATTTAGGTTTTTTACCTACAAGCTCCATCAGCTAGAAGTAATCTTTATGAAATGCTCATAAATAAGTTTAGCAAAAAATTTTACAGAAAATAAAGATTAAAAACATCCTATGCCTAATAAACTCATCTAAAAACATCATTTACTTGAATTTAACAATAAAACTGACATGAAATTAAAATAATGGTTAAACTTAAAGAACAAGTTTTTTCATCATATGAAATTATTTCCTTAAAGATTCTTAGGGTTATCACCTTCTAGAGAAATGGAAATAAAAACAAAAATAAACAAATGGGACCTAATGAAACTTAAAACCTTTTACAAAAGGAAAGCAAAGTAAACCATAACACAAAAAGACAACCCTCAGAATGGGAGAAAATATTTGCAAATGAAGCAACGCACAAAGGATTAAATCTCCAAAATTTACAAGCAGCTCATGCAGCTCAATATCAAAAAAAAAAACAACCCAATCCAAAAATGGGCAGAAGACCTAAATAGACATTTCTCGAACGAAAATATACAGATTGCCAACAAACACATGAAAGGATGCTCAACATCACTAATCTCTAACTACAATGAGGTAGGTATCACCTCACACCAGTCAGAATGGCCATCATCAAAAAATCTACAAACAATAAATGCTGGAGAGTGTGTGGAGAAAAGGGAACCCTCTTGCACTGTTGGTGGGAATGTAAATTGATACAGCCACTATGGAGAACAGTATGGAGGTTCCTTAAAAAACTACAAATAGAACTACCATAAGGCCCAGCAATCCCAGTACTGGGCATATACCCTGAGAAAACCATAATTCAAAAAGAGTCATGTACCACAATGTTCATTGCAGCTCTATTTACAATAGCCAGGACATGGAAACAACCTAAATGTCCATCGACAGATGAATGGATAAAGAAGATGTGGCACATATATACAATGGAATATTACTCAGCCATAAAAAGAAATGAAATTGAGTTATTTGTAGTGAGGTGGATAGACGTAAAGTCTGTCACACAGAGTAAAGTAAGTCAGAAAGAGAAAAACAAATGCCGTATGCTAACACACCATTGTAAAGCAATTATACTCCAATAAAGATGTTAAGAAAAAGATTCTTAGGGTTAGGAAATGTTGCACTGGATGGTTCCATCCACATATTCTAGAACATCTGCTGTCATATTCACTCACTTTCTACTGTATCAGTCTTTTCTTTTTTTCTCCCTACTTTAAATTGCAGACTTAAAGCTGATTTTATTTTGAGCTCTATCCACCTTTTTATAAGCCTGAATGTGCACAACATTGCTGGAAGGAGAGAGGTCAGCGATAGTAGACAGCATCTATTAAAACACCTAGGCCCTTTCCATGAGGTTTTTGTTTGTTTCTTCCTTGCATATCTTCTTTACCTATTTGAGAGATGTGTCCCACTTCCATAGGAAGATAATATTGATTTAAATTTGTTTCCTCCTATTTAATGTGCAATTCTTGAGCCTTTGCCACAGAGAGAGCAAGTCTATCCTGATTGTTTCAACTCTCCGTGAAAGCCATTTTTACTATATCTCTTTCAGAAAAGAAGATAAATAAGGCTAACTGCTCAGTTTCTATTTCTCATAAATTATTGGTATTAACTACTGGTAAGCATTGAACTTAAGCACTGATGCCTGTGAAGAACATGTCTTTAAATGTGGAATTTCATGGTTATCAAAGAAAAATCCTTGCCTTTCTTTCATTTATAGTCTCGGAATTTTTCTTTTACATTATCTATATTTAATATGTATGTAGCTGCTTTTTCTTTTTAACCTTCAGCATAAATTTATTCATTTCCTATCTTAAACACCTAGGCCACTTACAGTTCCTGGTCGTGGATAGGGGACTCTTCCTTGATAAGGCACCCACTGGTAGTTGGGACCATCCCTGTGAGCATATGGACCCAGGAACACCCTTCTCACATCACTCATGCTATACATGCACACGGCTGACCCCTTGAAGATGTTACTAAAAAAGACAGACAGAACAAAAACAGACTTTCATCTTTACACAATGACAGAGCTATTTATACTGAGTTTTTAAATTTCAGATAGCAATTATCAATACCTGAACATAAATTCTCAAATAGTGTTTGGGAGTTTTTAAGTCACATATTTATATATATTTTAATAATACACAAGAAAGCAAAATTATGATTGCTCAAAATTCGAAGGCATGGATGAAAACACCTTTAGCACTCATAGAACATATACATATTCATTTCATAAATAGACAATATACGATATAAATATATACATTCATATCATATGTAAACATTGATAGGGAAAACATATATACAAAATCTAAAAGGTAATGATTAATTCTGATGTCAGATAAAATAAAAATATAAACTTTGGTATTATGTTAAGACTTAAGCATCATTGCTGAAACCAGGAAATGTTTAAAAAAGAAAGAATGTTTAAGAACACATTTTATAAACTGAAACTGGTGCAGAAGATGAATAGTCAATGTGTTATAATTTTTAACTCCCAAACCAACAAAAGTATTTGATCAAGTAACAGAGCTCGATTTGTGTGAAGGCGTTTAATATCATCTCTTTCCAACACAGAAAATCATTTTAAGTTAGTAGCTATTACACCCTAGCAAAAGTGGAGTAATATAGCAATTATCCCCATCATTTTGTTGGACAAAAAAAATCAGGTAATTGAAGCAAACTGGAAGTTTACCATGAGCTGCCACAATTTCCCATTTTATTTTGCTTATATAAATACAGCTTGAGAGATTTATTTATAAAGATATAAAACAGTTGTGCACATTAAAAATATGGAATGCATACCTTTTAATCAATCTCTACCCATAGAAAATTACATAAAAATTAGACCAAATGAAAAACTTGTGTAATAAGAGTTTATTATTGAAAACTGCTGCATCTAGACAATGTCTCGTAGAGTGCAAGCTTCATGAGGGAAGGAACCATGCTTGGCTTCTTTTCTGTAACATAAATTACATATTGCACGGTACCTGACACACAGCAAATTTCAGTAAATACTTATAGAACTTAACAACAATATTTTCATAATGGAATAAGTAGCAAATTAATACATATTTGATACATCATAGTAGTTTGTAATGTTTATGTGTCCCTTTTTCATTGTTATACACTTTGCTTATCTATTGATGGAATCCATCATCATGGAAAGATCTTTTTAGGATTTAAAGCTGTTAAGACTAACTCATATATGACATCAATCTCGCTGAAGCAGATAGGTGAAATTATTTTACCCACTAAGCCAGTGATTCTCAAAGTGTGGTTCCTAGACCAACAGTATGGGCATCACCTGGGAATTTGTTAAAAATGCGTTCTTAGGCCCTACCCCTTCCTACTGAATCAGAGACTCTGAGGGCGGGGCCTAGCATCTGTATTTTAACAGGCTCTCTGGGCGATTCTGACGCAAGCTTAAGGCTGAAAACTACTGTACTAAGCAATGAGGAAGCAGAAGAAATGAATTAATATTTGTTTAATTTGAGCCTCCCACATTTTTTTTTTTTTTTTTGCGGTACGCAGGCCTCTCACTGTCGTGGCCTCTCCCGTTGCGGAGCACAGGCTCCGGACGTGCAGGCTCAGCAGCCATGGCTCACGGGCCCAGCCGCTCCACGGCATGTGGGATCTTCCCGGACCGGGGCACGAACCCGTGGTCCCCTGCATCGGCAGGCGGACTCTCAACCACTGCGCCACCAGGGAAGCCCAAGCCTCCCACATTCTTTAGCGGTCATTCTGTTTTTATACTAAAGGGGAGAAATATTTAGGTATGGGAAATTGCATCTGGTTTTACTAATATAGTTTTCCTAATTTTTACATGTTATTTTAAAAATTAAGTAAAAATGTCCAATCAATTTGTAATGGCTTTAATATTTACAGAAAAAATCAGTGTTTGGACATTGTAGTTAATCTTTCTTTATGCTATCACAGTCCCTTGTAGCACTCTTCCTGACTTTTGATTTTAAAATTATTTTTCTTTTATTAAACATTTATACATATCCAAATGCATATCCCTCTTTATATGCATTTAAATATATGTTTCTTTTAGCAATTAGAGGTAATGTAAACTTTATGCTGAATGTAATAGTCAGGAAATAATTACTGCTTGATTGACAGCAAGAGCTTTGAGGCACATGGGGAATGATGAAAGGAGGTGGCGGGGAGAGGGGGAAGAAGGAGGAGAGAGAGTGAGAGAGAAAGAGGGGGTAGGGACAAAGAAGAGAAAGGAGAGGGGAGGGAAAAAGATTTTTCACCCTTAGTTTATATCACTACAAACTTTTAACAAAACTCAGAGTTCTATGTTTATAATATTTTACATTTCACTCAAATTTTTAAAGTCAAAGCTATACATAGGGCATGGCATACATTTTTCATCATTAAATTTATAGTAGTGAATTCTTTGCTAAAATTTATGTAAAAAATGATTTAGGTCATGACTTATTTCAGGCACCCAAGAATGCACAAGAGCTCAAAGGTTTAGCCAACGTTGTTCTTTCAAAAATATTTTCACAAATTATGGACACTTGGAAAGCATCTAAAGGACATGAATTTTCTATGATAATAAGAGAGCAAAGTGTTATTTACCTGGAAGTTGTAAACACTCCATATACAATTGGATTTTTAGGATCTTTAGAATTCATTAGGAATACATCCTCTGTTTTAAAACAAAATTGGAGAAAGTTGCATTTTTGAAGGTAATGGCAAGGTTTGAATATTCTCTATATGACATCATCAGCTACTTACGCAATTCATCAAAATGAGTGTCAATGCCATTTGGACCTGGCACTGAACAAATGAGACGAGCTTTGAGGAATGTTGTCCATTTATTCACCAGACTTCTGTGGCCCCCGAAGTCATTCTGAAAGGAGAGAATAATGGTTTTAGAAATTGTGCATGCAAATGATATCTTCAAATATCTTATCTTCTCATATCTTGAGACAGATACAAATCACAATTCCTCATTTTTCAAATTGAGAAATGAATTTTAAATGACTAGATACAAGTAACTATGCTTTCTTATTATATTTTTGGTGAAATCTATTCACTCCAACTTTGTTCAAGGAATGACTTACAATAAATATGCCTTAGCATTAAAACGTCACTGTACTTTTTCCAGTCTGTTACCACTTGGCAATGAACGATATTACTCTTGTGTTTGTTTTGGTTTGCTTTTAGTCTCTCTTTCTTATGTAAGTTTTCCTTAAGATTTTACTCACCTAAGTAGGCTGGTTCACAAAATTAAGCACATTGGCACATAGTAGGCACTTAATGAATATTTACTGAATGAAAGAATAACTGCATGCCTTATAACTCATACTGAAAATACACCACAAACAAAAGCATGCTAGCATCAAATATTTTTATAAGCTCAGCTGACGCAACGCTGACTTTACAAACAGCATGTTGAAAAAACATCTGCATAAATCTTAATAAAGAAAACTCATTCTAGAGCAAAAATTTTGAAAAAGTATCTTCTCACTGAAAATGAAACTTAACTGTAACCTGATGTAGCAATAAATTCTATTACGATGGTATGGATTCACCAGTAACTTATAGTCTTATAATATTTATGTGCATATGTTTGAAGGAAAATAACTTTTTCTTCAAAAATATAACACTGATTTATATTTTGTTTATACGATTTTATTTAGTATAAAGATTTTTTTAACCCTTGTAAGTACTGCTTTTAAATATGCCTTATATTTTGTGGAGAAAAGATTCTCATATATTGCATATATCATTTGCATGTTTCCAGAGCATTAAAAATTTTAATTTTCCAGTAATTTAATATACTAAAGATAAATAATTAGATGATTGGGATAGGAAAAAGGATATCCCCGCCCGCAAGATAGGGATTTTTAAAATTTCATGATTTTTTTTTTAAAAGAAATAATTTCATTTTAAGACAGTAACTGGATTTGGCCTTGTGATTTTTCTTGAGATGAAAGGTGCTTTAATATATAATAACAGTTAGCTTCATTCATATTTCATATATGCTGTACTATACAGCATAGAGGGTAAGAGTAGTATTGTTATCATTATTTTCACACTGATACTAATTAGTCCATAAGTATTTACTGACCAACTTTTTATTCTATATATCTAACATTATAATACATATCACATCTGAATTTGTGCCACACAGTATATGAAAGTTCAGAGCTTCAAAATTATGTGTGTGTGCACATATGTGTATATAGGATGCTATAATCAAGTCATAAGAACAAGCTTTAACACTTGTCTCTTTTATATTCATACTTGAGTTATTTCCAACAAAAAATATTCATTGAAAACTTATACACTGTAGGAACCTATGCTAGGTCTGAGAATACAAAAATTATATTTTCCCAGGTAATATGAAAAAAAATTATTTCTCCAGAATTTCAAACTAATATTATTTAATGGAATTGTGAAATAACACCTCACAACCTATACCTCTATGTTTGACTATGAAGTTATTCATAAGCAACTATGTTTTCAATCTTTTTTTGGTATTTAAATATTTCTAGTGATCGGTCAAGCTTTTTAGCCATATTTTTCATTATATTTGTACAAAGGTAGAAAAGGAAAAAACTGCGGTTGGACAATGATACCCTCCTCATTTTTTTTCTTTACCTCACCTTGCATATCTGACCTATTCTAGCGTGAGTGGCTTTTCCAGTGTGTTCTCCATCTATCGCATTTTCACGGAAGAAAAAATACACTTTGTCATCTTCAGGGTTGTCACTTTCTGGGATGAGGTGGGCACTAATGAACCTTGGATCTGAGAGACAAATTATAGCATATATATTAATTCACAGTTGGGTAAATAAGACCATTCATTACAGTCCATTTTCAATTTTCTCTTAACCCCTATGTGACATATTTCAAGACCTAATCTCTCTTTAGTTCACTCTTTTTCAGTAGATGTGAACTGTTCTTTACGTATTTTAAAGTATGTTACAAATCGCCTTATGTCTCAAACATTATTTTAGGAGTAGGTGCAGAAATCCTCCGTGTGACCATATAGTGCAGATGCATCACTGGATATTAAAACATTGTGCAAAGTGTAAGGGCTATCAAATATTACTTATTGTCATCACTATTGTTATTCTTTCTTTCAAGCATAAAATAATTTAAATCAAACTACCAATTGGTCTATTCCACTTTCGAGCAAAAACTAGGTGGGAGGGGAGAGATGAGATTCATATAAAACAAAAGAAATTTTCTCAAGTTGTACCCCATCTCATTAAATGGCATTGTCATTTACGAGGTACTCAAGCCCCAAACCGTGGAGTTACCCTTGAGTTCTCTGAGTCTCCATACACCAGTGTGTACCCCTGATATGTCATTTCAGACATATCTAAACCCTCCTATATCTTTTCAAATCACACACAATAAAATGCAAACTCCTTCCAGTGACCAGAAGTCATTTACCATCTGGTCCCTGCTACCTCACATGACTTTTCTTCTTCCTACCCTTCCCTTCCCTAACTTACTCTTAGCCAGACATACCAAACCCCTTCCTGGTTCTCAAACAGGTCAAGCACTCTCAGCACCGCCTCAGATTTTTCCTCACTGTGTAACTCTCTGCCCTCATATATTCTAAAGACAGGATTCTTATTTTTACTCAGGTCTTTGTTCAAAATATTACGTTATTAAAGGCATCTTTGTTGACTACCCTAATTTAAAGTGCTGAAAGCCTTACTCCTACTCACATGCATTACTTTTCTTCCTAACATTATGAAACACCTGCTATGCTATATCTCCCTGTTGCTTTCTTCTCTCTTTAATCTTCATTTGCTTATCGTCTGTCTCCCTCTCCATCCCAATGAATATCAGTTCGAGGAGAACAGGAACTTGGCGTGTTTTGTTTGATGCTATGATCCTAGACTTAAAATACTGAGGGCATTCAATGAATATCTGTGCAAGAAGACAAGGAAAGAGAAAAGGAAAAAACAAGACTGCCTAGATTATGCAGAAGGTGTATCTGTGATGTCTAGAGTCCCACTTCAAAACATACTTCTGTAAGTACCTGGCTTGATATGGCTGTGGGCTCATATAAACTATTTAACAAAATATAATTGCTTCACGGCCTTAACAATGTAACATACTAAGAAGCTGAGTTTGTTTCATTGAAAGCACTTAGGATTGTTGCAGGTATTTAAGTTCTCACAATAACCTACTTTTGCTCCCATGGTGTATTATGTTATCAAGTTAACTATGAAATATACACACCTAGGTCAGCACCATACTTAAGATACCAGGAAAGGGATCAGAATATTGAAACCAGCTTTATCCATCTTATTTAGTCCTAACCTTTTCACCTGTGAATAATCATGTTGTCATGTGTACTACACTTGTAACTTTCCTTTAGCATTTGCTCTGGGGCCATGTACTTAGTATATTTCACAGGGCTACACTCCACTATCTTTTTCAGGCAAATTATACAGACCCTGTAAGTAATGCAAAACATATGAAATATTACCTATTCATATTTAAAGTTCAGTATGCCAGTGGAATAAGAGAAGGAGAATAAAACCTCAAAATTTGGAATCAGGACTAGAATTTTTAATAATACATTACTTCAACTTTAATAAACGTTGCAAAGGTGGTTTTTCTTCATAAATTTCTACTTAATTATATTCATAAACATATTTGTATACATGTTTTTGTCTCCTGAAGAATGGTGAGTGGATTAATGCGACAACAGTACGAATTATGTTACAAACCCAATAATTACCACCCTACTGATGAAGTCAGATTTCTAGCTTCAGAAATTCAGCATGTGCATGTATGTGTGCATGTATGTGTGCATGCATGTACATGCAGATGTATAACACAGACCTACACGTGACAGAACTCAGTTCAATCACTTACAACTTTTGTGACATTTTAGCAAGACTCTTACCTCTCAGATCTCAGTTGCCTAAATTTCAAATTGGGTTTATTTCATGTTAAGTTCAATTCACCTTGTGTCATAAACAGTTCACATACAAATAAATATTTTAAACTTAAATAGTACATGTGAAACAACTCTGTAAAATATTAACAAATGTACTATGCTGTTATGATGATGATACTAAAAGGAAGCCTCAATCACGTTAAGTTCTCATTATAAGATCTCATTATAATACAGCTGCAGAATTAAAGTGAAAAATCATACTTTCTTCTGCTTTAATGATGAAAAAATGGAGAAGTCGGTTTAATACTACCTCCCGTATTAAGGAAGTTGTTCATATATACACTTGAATAACTTAAAGGATTTCAAGTAATTAAATCCAACTACCTTTTATTTGATCACAAATACACGCAAGGCACTAAGTATAAAACAAAATGAATAATATATATATATCCCTTGTTTTCAGAAAGCTACAATCTAGCAAAAGTGATGTTAGAAACAAATGAGAACAAGGCAAACAATATTTTATACTTATAGATATTTTCTTAAGTTACTATTTGGGCATGAAAAAAGGAGTTATCAAGCATCATGCTTCCATCTCTAAAATATGTGAAGATAATTATCATCTTACAAATGTGGACTCTAGTAGGAAATAATTCAAACAAGTTATCACGTACATTAATTGTTTAAAGGGTCTTCAAGTCTAGTCTCTCCTTTAGTATCTGATATTACAGGCACAGAGGATTTGGTAGGTGAATTAGCAGTTTGACATAGCTTCAGATTACAGACAAAAAATACCATTAGGCGTAGAAAACAAAAGCCAAATATATCAAAATAGTAAAAGAGATTATCTAAGAAAAACAATGTTAATTGTCTTCAAGAAATTTAGGTTATATCTTATACCTGAAAAAACATTCACTCTAATTTCAAAATAAATTAGGTCTTTAGTTGATCTCTTCCAAAAATTTAAAAGAAGCCATTCTTCTAATATTTCAAATTTAGAAAATCTTTTTTTTTTTTGGCCAAAATCTCTGCTCACTGTTCATTTTCTACTTATGCTCCAAAGTTTGCCTCTCCCTTCATTGCCCCTCTTATTCTCTCAGTCTATTCCCCTCCCCTCTGGTGAATTCCCCTCTTTATCACATGAACATTCTAACCAGTCATTCTAATTGTCTTCCCTATCATCCTAGAACCTCTTGGCTTCCTAAACCTCCACTTACCTGCCTTTGAAATCCCAGAACTTTTTTTTCCTTTGCCCCCATACCTAAGCCAGGATGAAGAAAACCATATAATCGTAGTAAATGGATTTGCTATAAATTCAAGTTATTTATCCTAAACAAGAATTCTAGTGTTGCTAAGTAATTGGTTTATTTACTTTTAGTGGCTCATCTTAGACTTATTATCAGCTACTGTTTAAAATCATTCTCATTGTCTTCAGAACAACTAATGTGCCATCTCTCAATCTACCCACCAGAGATGGACTTTCTAATGTTATATGGCTGAGACCAAGGCCATTCAGTAAGAACTCCCTCCTTTTGCTTCCTTCACACCCCGCATAATTGTTCTTTTCTTCCTTTCTGTGGAAGAATTATTTCCCTTCCATAATATATATAAGGCCTCTCTCTATTTGCTCTCAATCTAATAATCTACAGAATGTTGCTCCATTGAGCAATCTCTATTCTTCATGTAATCACTTACATTTATATTTTCATTTATCAAATATC